GACTTCTATTGGGACACAGCTGGAGCTGTGTCATTCTCACTACTGAGCAGCCACAAGATTAGGTCCTGAACGGGCTCCCGGTGATGGTGGCCCCTTGTTAGAATGGGGGGCCACCACGGCACACCGGCACGAGTATAAAACACACTGTCACAGTCAGGGTGAGTTGGCTTCTAGACTTCTNGCAGTTGCAGGGCTGGGCGCGTGGGGTTAAGCGTGAGGTCCAACGTAAAATTTCGTAACTCCCACTAATGCAATTTTACTGCGGAAATCGTTCTAATTTTGTAGTTGCGGGATTTGTTTTTTGACGTTTTAAGGTTCAATTTGAATAAAAACTGTATGTTTTTTGAACTGAGCCGTAACTGTTGGGTCCTCTGAAGGTTTTGCAAACAAAAACGGCAAATCACGGAACTGGTAGATACTGAAATGTACGTAGGGACCGTCGATTTATAGTATAAAAATGATGATGATTTTTTTTATTCATAACAAAACCGCAATCACATCTGGTCTTAAGTGAGATATCATTCTCAGCTAATAAATACCTTTTTGGTGCTTGATAGATCAAAAACTAATTTATTTTATGATTCATATAGGGCCCTGGCCATATGAATCACGCACAGATGAATCAGTTTTTTGTCTGAAATCGAGCAAAACTCGTCATACATACAATCTACAGTGTTGTCATTTTTCTACATGAATCTATAACCCAAAAGCATCACATGGAAGACAGATTAGATTTTTAATGCAATAATATAATTTTATAAAGTAGGCATTGTAATCAGCATGCCACCTGAACCAAGCACAGATGAATCAAGTATTTGCCTTCATCACACCGGGTTCTAAGCCAACCAGCTCCACGTCTGCCTTCTAGCTCATCCGTTGCAAGATGGGCTTGCCTCCACGCCAGAAACCAGACTCTCATGATTAAAACCTGACCAGTTATGATCAAGAACAGCTCACGCCATATGAATCAGTATTTTATGCCGGACACTGCTTATTTATTTTTTTGCGAACAAACTAACTTATCAGCGTCGTGGCATTATCTACTGAGATGCTACGACACCATGCTGAGTGGATACCTTTTCAGTATCATTGTAATTACCTTCTCATTAAATAATGTTAAGTATTGCAAGTGTATTGTCGATGATACTGAATAAACATTTTTTCTTTCTTTCTTTCTTCTTTCTAGTTGGCGACACTGTCGGCATAGCGAGCGACATTACTGTGGCACCAAAAACTGAATCCAAATACGGTAGACCTCATTGACTAATGGCGTAAACTAATTGTTCAATTATTCACCCTCAAACTTCAAATTCGCAGTGACCCAGACAACGAGGACCTCTACGACATAGACGACCAGTTCCTGATCGGGGGCCACGTCATGGTGACCCCCCTGCTGGAGCGGGGGGCCAGCACGGCCACGCCGCTGTTCCCCGGCCCGCACGACTGGCACCACATCCGCACCGGCACCAGTATAGGGCACGGGAGGAAGGCCGTCGTGGATGAGGACCACACGGTCACTGTCAGGGTGAGTTATTGTCTTTGGGGCTGTGTCATTCTCACTACTGAGCAGCCACAAGATTAGATCCTGAACGGGCTCCCCGTGATGGTGGCCCCTTGTTAAGAGTGGGGGGCCACCACGGCACACCAGCACGAGTATAAAACACACTGTCACAGTCAGGTTGAGTTGGCTTCTAGTGTCGTCACAGCAGTATCGTGAGTCGTGTCTTAACTGAGCCGTCATAGGATTAGTTACTGATCAGGGCCCACTTGATAGTGGCCCCCCGCTGCGGGCGTCTATGGTCTTCTATTAGGTCACCTCAGCTGGGGTCGTGTCACTTCTGAGACTTCCTAGGACCACTTCCTAATCGGGCCCCCCTGCTACCGCGGGGGCCCCACGTCATGGTGACCCCCCTGCTGGAGCGGGGGGCCAGCACGGCCACGCCGCTGTTCCCCGGCCCGCACGACTGGCACCACATCCGCACCGGCACCAGTATAGGGCACGGGAGGAAGGCCGTCGTGGATGAGGACCAAAATTAGGAAAAAGTAAATAATTAATTTGACCCAACTACTGTAATATGTAACACTTTAAGTGATTAATATATTTTAAATTCTGTAGATCGTAAGTAAGAAAACTTTGCGATGTATAATTTTTGTGGCGATATTTTCATGGTATGTATCTAAATTTACTATTGAAACAGAAACCTTGTAATTACTATTTGAATTGGAATTTATAGTTTTGTATATCTAACAATTATTTTCTTTAAAATTTAAATATTGTCTGTTTCGTAATAATTTGGAAGTAATGAAATTATTTTACAACATCTAAATATTTCATTTATACTGTAACATCTTTAAAAATCTGTTTTTCTGTCTGTGTAGATTGTTATGTTTGATAGTCAAAAAATTATCCTATTCAAATATCAGTTTATGTGGAATTTTCTAAATTAGTCAACTCATTTATGTATTTCTTTTTCTCTAAAAACATGAATGTTAAAAAAATATATACAGGGTGTTTGGCGCATCGTGTGCCAAAATTATTTGGCGGATAGAATGGGTCATTTCCTATATTTTCAGCCCCCATAACACGTTCCATGCCAGGCGGCTACTTTTATATGATTTTTTTTTGTAATTTCACCAAAATACCCAAATCGCATCATTTAATTTCGATTTAAAAAAAACTACTAGGCGTAGCCTCAAAGTAAATATTTTGTTTTGACGTGCACTGATGTAGGGTTGCATCAAATCTAAATTAACTGGCAAATATCATCTAGTTTTTTTTAAATTCAGCTTTGAAGTTTTCCGAAAAGTTAAAAATGGACTGAACAATTAAGTTTACATGGCTATAATAAAAAAATTAAAAGAGATAGCGATCTTCGGATTTTATCAAAACTTCTCTAGTCTATCCCCATTCAAACGGTATACTAATCTTCTTTAAATAATAACAACAACTTCACAAATTCCTTAAATTAGTGCATTGACTCTACTCGGACTGATATTCAAATTTTGAATTTTGAACCTTTTATTTTACTTTACAATAAGTTCAAAGCAGGTAAAAACTTCACAAAATATTCACTTTGAGGCCACGCCTAGTAGTTCTTTTTTAAATTGAAATTAAATGATGCGATTTGGGTATTTTGGTTAAATTACTAAAAATTAATATAAAAGTAGCCGCCTGGCATGGAACGTGTTATGGGGGCTGAAAATATAGGAAATGACCCATTCTATCCGCCAAATCATTTTGGCACACGATGCGCCAAACACCCTGTATTTTGTGGTCTGTAAACTTTTAGACTTTTTCATGTTCAATTACTTTTTACAAAATTATGGTATGTAATGAAAATTATGATCATTTGAAATTAGAGTTTTTTTTTCTCGGATTTTAATGTATTTTGATATTTTGTTTTGAACTGTTGTTACTAAATTTAATATTTGAAAAAATATTGTAAACCAATTTTTTTCTTTTAAAAAGGGGGGAGGTGTAGTATGTGTACGCGCCAAACCTATATATTTGACGTTGCTGCGTAAACTGACACACACAATATACTCGCATCGCACAGTATACACTCTTTTATTGTCAACTCCCGGTCCCCACATTACAGTGTCGTCACAGCAGTATGGTGAGTCGTGTCACTACTGAGCCGTCATAGGATTAGTTACTGATCGGGGCCCACTTGATAGTGGCCCCCCGCTGCGGGCGTCTATGGTCTTCTATTAGGTCACCTCAGCTGGGGTCGTGTCACTTCTGAGACTTCCTAGGACCACTTCCTAATCGGGCCCCCCTGCTACCGCGGGGGCCCCACGTCATGGTGACCCCCCTGCTGGAGCGGGGGGCCAGCACGGCCACGCCGCTGTTCCCCGGCCCGCACGACTGGCACCACATCCGCACCGGCACCAGTATAGGGCACGGGAGGAAGGCCGTCGTGGATGAGGACCACACGGTCACTGTCAGGGTGAGTTATTGTCTTTGGGGCTGTGTCATTCTCACTACTGAGCAGCCACAAGATTAGATCCTGAACGGGCTCCCCGTGATGGTGGCCCCTTGTTAAGAGTGGGGGGCCACCACGGCACACCAGCACGAGTATAAAACACACTGTCACAGTCAGGTTGAGTTGGCTTCTAGTGTCGTCACAGCAGTATCGTGAGTCGTGTCTTAACTGAGCCGTCATAGGATTAGTTACTGATCAGGGCCCACTTGATAGTGGCCCCCCGCTGCGGGCGTCTATGGTCTTCTATTAGGTCACCTCAGCTGGGGTCGTGTCACTTCTGAGACTTCCTAGGACCACTTCCTAATCGGGCCCCCCTGCTACCGCGGGGGCCCCACGTCATGGTGACCCCCCTGCTGGAGCGGGGGGCCAGCACGGCCACGCCGCTGTTCCCCGGCCCGCACGACTGGCACCACATCCGCACCGGCACCAGTATAGGGCACGGGAGGAAGGCCGTCGTGGATGAGGACCACACGGTCACTGTCAGGGTGAGTTATTGTCTTTGGGGCTGTGTCATTCTCACTACTGAGCAGCCACAAGATTAGATCCTGAACGGGCTCCCCGTGATGGTGGCCCCTTGTTAAGAGTGGGGGGCCACCACGGCACACCAGCACGAGTATAAAACACACTGTCACAGTCAGGTTGAGTTGGCTTCTAGTGTCGTCACAGCAGTATCGTGAGTCGTGTCTTAACTGAGCCGTCATAGGATTAGTTACTGATCAGGGCCCACTTGATAGTGGCCCCCCGCTGCGGGCGTCTATGGTCTTCTATTAGGTCACCTCAGCTGGGGTCGTGTCACTTCTGAGACTTCCTAGGACCACTTCCTAATCGGGCCCCCCTGCTACCGCGGGGGCCCCACGTCATGGTGACCCCCCTGCTGGAGCGGGGGGCCAGCACGGCCACGCCGCTGTTCCCCGGCCCGCACGACTGGCACCACATCCGCACCGGCACCAGTATAGGGCACGGGAGGAAGGCCGTCGTGGATGAGGACCACACGGTCACTGTCAGGGTGAGTTATTGTCTTTGGGGCTGTGTCATTCTCACTACTGAGCAGCCACAAGATTAGATCCTGAACGGGCTCCCCGTGATGGTGGCCCCTTGTTAAGAGTGGGGGGCCACCACGGCACACCAGCACGAGTATAAAACACACTGTCACAGTCAGGTTGAGTTGGCTTCTAGTGTCGTCACAGCAGTATCGTGAGTCGTGTCTTAACTGAGCCGTCATAGGATTAGTTACTGATCAGGGCCCACTTGATAGTGGCCCCCCGCTGCGGGCGTCTATGGTCTTCTATTAGGTCACCTCAGCTGGGGTCGTGTCACTTCTGAGACTTCCTAGGACCACTTCCTAATCGGGCCCCCCTGCTACCGCGGGGGCCCCACGTCATGGTGACCCCCCTGCTGGAGCGGGGGGCCAGCACGGCCACGCCGCTGTTCCCCGGCCCGCACGACTGGCACCACATCCGCACCGGCACCAGTATAGGGCACGGGAGGAAGGCCGTCGTGGATGAGGACCATACGGTCATTGTTAGGGTGAGTCGGCTTCTATACTGTCACAGCTGGGACCGTGTCACTGAGCTATCACAAGAATAGGTCCTGATCGGGTTCCACTTGATAGTGACCCCCCGTCGCGAGATGTATGTGGTCTTCTATTCTTCGTCTTCTATAGTGTCGTCACAGCAGTATCGTGAGTCATGTCACTTAATGAGTTGGCTTAGGATTGGATCCGAATCCTAATTGAGTACCGGCACCACATCCGAATGACACCAGCATCGGGCATGGAAGGAAGGCGGTCATGGATGAGGACCTCACGGTTACAGTCAGGGTGAGTTGGCTTCTATTGGGTCATGGGTGATCGTGTCACTTTCTGAGCTGGCTTAGAGAGCAGTTCCTGATCGGGCCTTCGTTATGGTGGCCCCCTGGTGGAATAGTAGCCACCATATCCGCACTGACACGAGTATAGGCCACGGAAGGCAGGCAGTCGTGGAGGACCACACTGTTACAGTCAGAGTCAGTGGTTAAAAAATTAAGGTCACAGCAGAACTTATAACTATAGGAGAGGAAAGATTTATTTTTTAGTGATCATAGCACAGATATGAAGATGCAACATAGATAGGCGTCCCATGGGATCGAACCGATCTTCTGGTTTAAGTTGCGGGAAACCACTTGATGCAAACAGCTCAGAAGCCCTGTGGCGTCCAATAGTGGCCTTCCAGTTGCTGATTATTCACGATTTATTTATTGAACACCATACAAGTTGTTGTATAAAGCGAATTTAATGTGATGTATTTATTTATTGAATACCATATACATACTTCATGACGCGAATTTAACGTGATAATTATGTCCAGGGCGGCGCCATAATCCCGCTGCAAGAACCGCCGGCGCGCGGGCCGGTGACCACGACTGCGGCGCGTAGTGGGCCCCTACAACTTTTAGCGGCGCCCGACCGCGCGCGACAAGCCGAGGGACAGCTCTACTGGGACGACGGGGATAGCCTCAGTAAGTACTGCTGGCCTAAACTAAGTTACTGTAAGGCAGCGCATCATCTCGCTTGCATTTTGATATGTAACCTTGATGTTCCTCCTATACTGAATAGTCTGTACGTCAGCTGTGTGCAGAAATACGAAGCGGCGCTTTAAGAGTCTTGACATCGAAGTCAACTAAATGGAGTCAGCGTAGGAGGAAATCATACCATACATGTATTTTAGAGAGAAGGTGGCTGTAACACAGATCATACAGCTATCAACATCTCGTTTTAATAACTATACAACTTGAGGCATATTAGAATATTTCCAACATTTTCTTTCTAACCCAACAGACAGCTACGATGAGAAGAAATTCAGCCACATCAAATTCACACTCAACCGGAACATCCTCAGCAGCAGAGTCGTCTGGTGGGGCTACGGCGTTCCCTCCATCAATAACATCACTATCTTCAATCAGCCCACTGTGGTATCAGTCACTGTCAAGGGAGCCTCGGCCCACTTCGAGTATTTAGAAAAAACGAAAGTCCTCCAAATATACAACATCAACCTGTCCCTAGACAACCCCTTCGAGGTCCAGTGGCTTTACAAGGCCAAACAAAACAAAGCCATCAGCATCAACAGTCCCTATGTACCGAAAAGCGGGTAATAAATACTATATCTTAATATGGAAATGATGTCATTGTCCTGAGAGGATCGGCAGACCAAAGTCTTGTTGGAAAAACTAAACTAAATTGTAACTGAACATCAAATGTTCGAGCAGTTGTTTGATTAGTAGTGTATGAAGAAAGAGTACAATAGCATGATAGTTGTCTGTTATCAGTGTTATAGCAACGGAGAAAGTTCAAAGATTCGATAGTGAGAAATGAATGTTTGCCAATTAAATTAAGTACAGAAATATCTTAAATGTTTGTTCAAGTATCTAGTCATAAGGTATTTTTACTTATGAAATATGTAATTATGTTTACTGATTACATTTATTATTATTAATTTACACTGTTTCTGATACATTTTTGAAATCCTATAGTGATGAAATATTATAATATTTATATAAATATCCCATCCAGTTAGGAATTTAGATTGCATAGTTTGTCAATTAAGTAAAATCTGTTGTCTATTGATTTATCTATGTATGTAAATATACAAATGTTTCCTAGGAAAATTATCTAAGTGTAATATGATTTAAGAATGATATTGTGTAAGTTTTTCTAGACGTAAGGTGCTTTGTTAAACATTTTCTCTAAAATGCTGACTTTCTTGCATGTAAAATAATATTACTCAATATGGAAATAACATTTACTGCCCAGTACTAGAAATTGCTATTGTTATACTATCAGTCCTCTCTTCAATAATTAAGTCTTCTAAAGATACAGTATAATGCATGTTTAATGCCCTGGCTAAATATAAATAATGTATTCCCATAAATTATGTACACTTTATCTATAAAACTATATTTTATGTCTATCAGTGGTCATTGACAGTTGTTAAGATGCTCAATATCACTTTACAGATGCATTTATTGTTTTAATGCTTGAATAGCACAAATACCTAGATTTTTTACCAAAATTTTAACATTTTCCTTTTGTGTTTTTATTAGTATTTGGATTTAATATCTTAAAAATATTTTTGTGGTGATAGCTCAACTTGTCTTTCAAATAGGATAAGAGTAGTACATTATGTGATAAATTATTTTTGAACATTAATGCCAAAGTAGAAGTGATTGTGTTTGGATTTTTTATTTCAAGAATGCACTTAAATAAATAATATTGCACAAAAACAGTGTTTTACTTTACAAACTACATAAAATTGTTTAAAAGCAATAATCACAAACATAACAATTTATTATTCTAATCAAATAATTAATTGTATAATTATTAATTTGTCTTATGTGTGGTCTTTCTCAACATCTGTCTTCAAGAATTCTTCATACTTCTTATCATCCATGAGTTCTTGTAGTTCCTCAGGATTTGAAAGTTTCAGTTTGAATAGCCACCCTTGGTCGTAGCATGACGTGTTGATTAGTGCTGGTTTGTCCTCAACTTTGTTATTTTTCTCAGTGACAGTGCCACTAACAGGTGAATATATCTCACTAGCTGCCTTCACACTTTCTAAAGCACCACATTCGTCTCCTGCTTTTAATTTTGTACCTGGATCTGGCAGTTGTGCAAACACAACATCACCAAGAGATTCTTGTGCATATTTACTTATTCCAATAGTGCCAATGTCTTTGTCTACTGTCACCCATTCATGCCGGTCTGTGTATAATCTTTTAGATGCATCGCTGCTGTATTTGTGACGTAACTCACAGTATGATTGCTTCAAATTGGACTGTAGTAAGTAACATCTTGAAAGATAGTTCCTTGATGATTGTAAACACCTCTGTAGAGCCATTTCTTAGCTGAAAAGAAAAAATGTGGTTTCAGATACAAAATTACAACAGCCCTGACTTACCAGATCTATAAATTAAAATCCATTTAAACAGTAACACAAGTCACATATTCTACTAAAAGATAAAAGTAATTTTAACTCACAATATTGAATATCACTGATATTTAGAATAGCAAGACTTCAAAACATGTATACTTTGTACTAAAATTACATCTAATCTTTACATATTCCTGACAGAGACTAACACTGTAACATAATGAGCTGCGTGCTACTTAAGATAAAGAAAATAAACAAGAGCACTGATATCGCAACACAATGATAAACCTGAACTATTGACCTTATAACCATTACAATATTTAATTTGATTTTGAGATGGTTCACTTTGAGTATAAGTTTTGAGCAGAATTATAGTAGTTGTTAAGATCATTCCAAAAAAGTTAGTTCTAGTATAGAGTATTCAATCGCTGGAGAAAGCTATAAATATTGCAAAATAGACCAGTCATAATATGAGTTTTAAACTATTTAAAAAGAAGTACATATTACAATATACATACTTGATGTCAATGTGCTCCTTATGAATAATTTGTCAATTATGTGTGGAATATTCTATACTAATTAATAATGTGTAAATAATATTCTTTCTTGTGATTGTTCTATTGCACTTTAGAAAATTTTAGGTTAGAAATGTTAGAATTTTTGACATTTCCAAATTCTTTCAGAAAAAAATTATGTTTCAGAACGTAGCTCGTAGACTCAAAATAGGAAACATGGAAATTCAAGTTTCAGAACGAAAGTGTTGTATGCTTTAAGAATTTTCTACCATTTTTAATTAAATGTTCTAAACTTTAATAAAAAAAAAAGTTTTTCTAGCATAGCATACAGTTTATTTTCTATCCACGAATAAAAAACAGTAGACTCGTGTTTGAGAGAATTAAGTCGGGTCCATCAACAAAAACATGTAATCATTCAACATTTTTGGAGGCAATTCTAATTTTTGTTGATTGAGTAGGACAAAACATGCACCGGAGACCCGGATTTAAGTCAGAATTCATACTTTGGGGAGCTGGACCTGGATCTTTAGAAAGAAACGTCCTGTGTTCTGCTGTGATCTGTCTGAATGAACAAATTCGGAATACCTAATGAATAATTTTATTATTTTTGTAGCTTATTTTCTATTTAGTAGGCTTCTTTATTAGTGTGAATAATAAAAAATCTTAAACATTTTTAAAAAGAAACGTAAGTGATTAGTAGTTTTTTAAGCCATAGGCTTGCAAGTGGCTGGACGTCAAAAATGTCACTTTCTACGAAACGTCATTGTTCGCATAACCATGACTGAAAGATGTCAAACGAAGTTTATAGAAAAATTTGATAATCAAAATTATATTATTTACGTCGGTGTTATATCAGCTTCTCTCGCCGTTTTATATTTCTACAGGTGCATTTTGATATAGCTTTAAGTTGTCGTCACTTCCCTGTGAGTTGGCATATCGATAACCCGATTTCACGTTTGCAGATTTCACTTCATCGCGATCACTTTGAGTTATGTGTTGGGATGTGTGGCTTGTTATTACGGACTGAAATCAAACGTACTTCGCGACTACGTGCGGCTGCTAAAGTCCCACTTCTCTGGGATAGCAGACGAGGGGCGGGAAGACGATGTGCCAGTCAAGGTAACTCGTTTGATGTTTTTTGTTATTACTGACGTCCGCCTTTTATGTTTGGTATGAATAACGCCTCTGTAAACAGTCTGCGTGTGTGCGCTTTTAATAGTTCATATAAGGAAAGTGCTACATTGGGTTTAATGTTGATAAGATAAGTATTAACTTTGACCTAAATGATTGGCAGGGTTGTGTCACCTGCGGGTCCCCGGACTGCGCCCGGCATGACCCGGGGATGCCCGTGGACCCCTGGGAGGGGCTCCAGATACACAAGCAACTTGATCAAGCCATAGAAGATGTAAGTATGTTTTTATTAAGCTTTATCCTCGTAAGACCGAAGAGTAAATTGTGTCGACTTCTAAGTATCGCCGAATGTGCTTTCAGAAGAACGAATAATTTGAAGTAGTAAACGCCGAGCACTTCGAGTAAAAAAATTTCTATGTTAGAGATTTTCTTTTGCATTCATATTTTCAGGGGCCCTATATAATAGTGCATAGAGCTTATTTTAGGTGAAAAATATTAAAAAAATGTTTTCTCTTAAAAGAACATTCGGTATTACAGACTTTAAAAAGGAAAAGTAAATAAATTGTATTTTATACTTTAAAGTAAAACATAAATGTAACCTTTTAAATAAATTAATACTACATAAAGATACAATAACGATATTAATAAATGTAACTGAAAAGGAACAACGGTTTTAATTTTATTTAATGTTTCATATTTAGTACTTTTAAAAGTACTATCGGTTTTATAACATACACTAATGATAGGTTAAAATGTACAAGAAGTAAAGTGAATATTCATGTTAATTATAATATTTACTAAACAAAAAATCAGAACATTCTCATGGTAAATATTCTCAATCATATCATTATTTTAAAAGTCCAATACTCAATCCCATCTCAATAGAAAAAATATACAAAAATAAAACTTTCACCATCAATACCGAATGTTCCTTGCAAAGAACTTTTATTTTTAAACTAAAAAAAATCTTACAAAACTACTTCAAATTGGGAAAAATAATTTTTTTGCTTGTTTAGCAGTATTTTAACTTAAATTATACTGGTCAGTTTTGCAATTAAACTACGTTTACGTGAAGAAAAAAAATTAATCGCACATCATGTCTTCTTGGACGAACCACCTTGTCAAAGAAAAATGATAATTTGACAGTGACATTTTGTTTTTTTTATATTAATAAGTTCGGATACCTGATTTTGAATACTTTAAGCCATAGACTATCACTCTTTTCTTTCGATAGGCGCGAATTTTTGAACTTAAATTTATCGCTAAAGTTTTAGTTCCTCTGATGGCACATCCGGCGATACTTCGAAGTCACCTCCGAAAATGTCTCGGCGTTACTGACTACAAAGTTTCAGTTCCTTCTGAGGCACATCCGGGCTTACGAGGTTATTGTACAGGAAATAGAGCTTAATATCAACTTCATTTATTTTTTTTATCAACATTTTCTATTTGTTTTCATACTTGCATGAGGTATAATACATATTTCTGTTGACAAGTTTTTGCCACAAAAATCATAAATGCCATAATTTATGCTCTACTTCTCCAGTTTAATTAGTAATTCTGTAATTTTCTGTTTGTTTATGTTTTTTTTTATTTGGTCTATTTACTTAGTAGTCATTAATTTTCATACTTTATTAAGGAAGATTCTATGGTGATGCCATCATATAAGTACAATCTTATGTAATAAAATTTGCTGAGGTTAATACTATCTAATCTGGTATTATCATTAAGCTACTTATACAAAGCTTTGTTGCCTTCATCTAATTATACATGAAGTAAACATATTTGGTTCACGAAATTAAAATAAAAAGAATCTTGTTATTATCACTTTCATTTCTTCAAAGCATAATATTGAGTTTCATTGTATGAAATATTACAGTTGTTAACCTACTTTTGTTAAAGTAATTAAGTTGAAGTTATTGATAAGTTAAGCAATAAATCTAATTTATTTTCTGATTCCAACAACATTAACATAGCTTTAATCATTAACAATGTTTGTGCCAAGTGGGGATTATTCCATTTATTAATTTATTGAAAGAAATTAAATAGTAAAAGACTCATTATGTCTTCTTTTTTTGGTCAACAAGTAATTTAAGCCCTACTCTTTATCTGATAGAGTAAAAGTACATGAGACTTGAAATATGTTTGAAATGAATGAGACTTGTTCTTTGAATTTAAATCATACTTTATTATTGTACTGATGACTCATGTATTGTCATGTTTTAGCACTGCTCACCATATTTGCTGATGCTCATTGTCACTAACATCTTGTACTTATTGTACATTATCATATTTCAGTATACTATTGTGTGAGTTGAGTAGTAGATTATTGTACAAGCATTAGAAATGAAAATGTACGAAAATTGAGATTTATGATTAAACTTCTTCCTGAAGTTTTCTCTTTTCACTGGTTGGAAGGTGGAAAATCGATCACATCCTATTAAGAAATCTGAAATATTGTTTAAATCCTGTTAATTAGTGCTTGTACATTACAAACCAGTTTTCAATCAATGTCAGTTCTTCGTGATTTGGTGCTTGAGAACTGTGTTTATAGATAACAATTTAACCTGTATTTCATCCAATTACCCACAAAAAAACTTAATCGCCGTCATCTAGGATTGAATTAGGAGCAGATAATTTTTACGAAATTAAAAATATCTTATAAGCTTTTGGATTTGGTGGATATCTTATTTAAACAGTAGTGAATATCTTAAATTAAACCAAAGCAATTTTAAATGTTTGATACATGTACCTAGCTTTTTTATATCAATTATTGTAATGCCGCCTTTCAAATAGTGAAGCTACGATATCCAAATAAAAACATCTTAGTATCCAAACGGTGGAGGGGTCAGACTAGCCGACTCGTGATCCGAGGAACGCGGGTTTGATCCCCGCCGCGCTCGACTATTGTGGTGAAACCACAAGCATATTTAGCTTACCATGAAGGGTTAATGGGATTAGCAATTTGTAAATACAAATGTATATAAAAGCGAAAGGTCACTGGCTGGCTGTTAGGAGTCTCAAATTTTGCATAAGGGTTCCTTTTAAAATGTAGGTGCTCACTAAGACGGGATTTTACAAAATTCAACCCCTAAGGAGGTAAAACGGGGCCCAAGCGTACGAAGACGCGGGCGGGCCGCTAGTTGCTAATATTCTTTTAAAAATGCTGAAGTTAAACCTACATTATTATTTTCTGCAGTTCTACAACACAATCCTGGACCAGTTCATCAATACATGGTACAGCAAGATCACGCTGCAACCGTTCTTCGTGGATGAGTTGCGGTACCAGCTTCGATATGCTTCCGCCAGTTTACTCCGGAGAGCTCTCAAGGTACATAAAATAGATATAATGTAGCATAGCAGCCGAAACGTCAAGCCGTGAGTACATAATGTAACTCATTAATAAATGTCGCGTTAAGACCCATGTCTTTCTAGTTTAGTCGAAATGGAACACGAAAGTTTTAAATCTTATATCTCAAGCTACATTTTGGTTTACATTTAAAAATAGATTTTGCAACAAAAGTTCTCAAGTGGCGACCACAAGCCGGAAGATTAGGTGGACCGACGATCTGGTGAGGGTCACGGGAGGTGCCTGGATGCGGGCGGCGCAGGACCGGTCTTAGTGGAGATCCTTGAGGGAGGCCTTTGTCCAACAGTGGACGTCATTCGGCTGAAACGAACGAGATTTTGCAACACACAAATACTTTTATAACCTTCCTCAAGTTTCGACTCGGTTGCACGACTCATTGTCGCGGGTCCCGTTATAGTGAGAATTTAGTAAAAATTTAAATACGAAAGTTAAAATGTTAAATGGATTTTTCTTGATGTACGATTTGGCACAAGGACAAGTGTGTCTTAAATATAATTAGCAACAATTATAGTGCTTTTGCTATAGGTTCTTCACTAAGTTCACTTGAAAAATGAGAATGTTCACTGTTGCTCAAACTTGTATTTTTTGTCATAGAAATAGATTTTAGTGCGAATTGTATTCGTGTCAAAAAGGCAATCATTCGTGTCAAATTGTGTAACAACTGAAGTAGAACAAGTGTAAGCTATGTCACGTCTCATTAAGATATGTAAATAATACCGCAAGAATGTGATTCGAAGAACTGTGTGTCTGTAACATTTACTCATTAAATATAAAACGTCACAATGATATTATTAGTAATCGTAATGACTTATAAAACCTGGTTATGATGCCTTATCAACGAAATGAATGTGCTTATCGGCCGTTTGGTGTAGTGGTTCAGAACGGACTACCATGCCGAGAGGTCCCGGGTTCGATTCCCGGCCGGGCAGAAATTGAAATGATGAATTTTAATTTCTGTGACGGGTCTGGGTGTTACTATGTATAATATGTATGTATTTAAAAAAAGAAGTATATAAGTAGTATATCCGTTAAGCTAGCACCCATAACACAAGCATATTAATTGCTTACTTTGGGGCTAGATGGCGCTGTGTGAGATTGTCCAAAGATATTTTTTTTTTTTTTTATTTTATCAAGCAGTCAGCAAAATAAAGTTTAGATTTAGGAGTATACATAATACGAGTATGGTACCTACACTTAAATGAGTATGATCAATGATGTAAATAAAATATTTACAGTTATTGTTGCCATTTCTATTTATCTAGCGGCGTAAGGGGTGTGTGTATTAGAGATGGGTTATACTAGGTAAATTTGATACTAGGTGCACCTATTCCAAGTATTTATTAATACGTGATCCAAATACCTGTTCCACTTAGTACGTAGTAATTTACCATACTTGACGCGACTAGTGCGGACTAATCCACGTATTATGACTTTAAAATACAATTTTCTTTGAAAAGATCCACTCGTAGTATTAATAATGCAATTTGAAATTGAATAATAATGTTTTTGCTGGTTGTTGATTGATTGATATCCTCCCTTCATAAGTTCATACTTCAACAGGCTTAGGACTGTCAACTTAAAAGTTGGCGTATTTAAAAGATATCAATTTCATAAAAATATTTACATAATTTTTTCTATTTTTTATTTATGCAATTATCACGGACGCGTGACAACAAACCAAAACAAACCTGTCGGAAGAATAAAAACTGGTTTTTTACCGGCTAGTCAACAAGGAGTGAGCTGGATGAGAGAGAACAAAAATTAAAATATTCAAAACCTTACCTGTGTACAAATAGAGTTTAAATTACGTAATACATCAAACACCTATTCCTATCTCACACCTGCCTGCGCTCAAATTTGTTTGTCAGACAGAGACGGAGTGAATATCTACGTTCGCACATAAGCTTAGCGAGAAATACGCGGTGCGCGTAATACACGACTACGGATTATGCAATAATAACCTCTATTACTTTGATGGTAGGGTCGGAAATCGTGTAATTTAAAAAATACTTAGCGAGAAATACGCGGTGTGCGTAATACACGACTACGGATTATGCAATAATAACCTCTATTACTTTGATGGTAGGGTCGGAAATCGTGTAATTTAAAAAATACTAGGTGGATCAAGTATTTTAAAAATTGGAATAGGTGCCACTTAGTACTGTAAAATACCTAGTGTGTGGATCTGTTCTAGTAAATACGTCTCATCTCTAGTGTGTATATTCGTCTTCGTCCTGCCACCGTATTTCCAACCTTACTACCTTGTATTGAAAACTACGAAAACTTGCCGCTATAGATTGTTTCATCCATGAAGATGCGCCCCACCAATTTTTGGTCGAGGGAAGCGCGGGGTGCAGGGAGTTTGACTCGAGCAATCCGAGCGTCATTATTATAGTGTGCGTGTACACTCAAGGATAATTTAGCGTGTACCGATAACACTCAAACATTAGCGGAAGAATGGTGGGGCGAGTCTTCGTGGATGAAACGATCTTTATAAACGCACCACCGCACAATGAAAATGAAAATGAAATTTATTCGTCATTATCATTATCAATGAGTAGGTCATCTTCATAGAAACGCACGGGCGCGGTTTGTATGTGAGCGCGCCAACACGTATGCGGCGCGCACGCACACACTGACAATGACCTACTCATTTGTATTTACTCTGTAGGTACTTCAGCTCGGCTTTCTTTACTTCGGTACCTACGTAGCGTCTCTAGAGCCATCAGCCTTTAGCAGATATCTAGTGACGCTGCGTAGATAGGCCCCTCCCTTTACAACGTGTAGAGTGGCAATGGCGGTGCCACCGAATTTCCAAAGAGAACTCAACTATGGTCTGTAAATTCGCCGCCCAGGTAGACTACCCGCGCGTGCTGACGTCACGCCTGGTCCCGTGCGCGTTACGTCACTACTCCGTGTGCGCGGGCGCCGCGCCTCCCGCGCCGCACCCCGCCGCCGCCTCCCGCGCGGCCGAGCTGAAGTATCTACGCAGCGTGACCAGAGCTATTATGCCGTATCTGCTGAAGGCTGATGAGGCTGAAAACCCGTGAGTTTATTTTCATTATTATTATTTCAGCTAGGTAGGTCCAATTTCGAGAAGGAGGTCAATCGTCGAATCCAACTCGGCTAGGTAGCGTTCGGGAAATTACGCAACATCTTTTCGTCCAAAAATACCCCAGTGCCTGAAGACGAAAGTCTACAACCAATGTGTGTTACCTGTGATGACTTATGGCTCGGAAACGTGGCCCCTCACTATGGGCCTTATACAGAAGCTCAAAGTTGCACAGCGTGCTATGGAGAGGGCTATGCTCGGTGTTTCTTTACGAGATCGAATCAGAAATGAGGAGATCCGTAAACGAACTAAAGTCGCTGACATAGCCCGACGGATCAGCAAGCTGAAGTGGCAGTGGGCAGGGCACATGGTACGCAGAACTGACGGCCGATGGGGCAGCAAAATTCTGGAATGGAGGCCACGTACCGGAAAACGCAGCGTGGGACGTCCACCCACAAGGTGGACCGACGACCTGATAAAGGTAGCGGGAAGGCGCTGGATGCAGGCCGCTACCAACCGTGCGATGTGGAAGTCATTGGGGGAGGCCTATGTTCAGCAATGGACGTCCTGTGGCTGAAATGATGATGATGATGATTATTATTATTTCATTATTAGCATCAATTTCCCAGGACATACTTTACTTCACCTTAACCCAGCGGTTCCCAAACTTATTTAGTCTACTGCCCACTTTGAGAATAAATTATCCCATCAAAAACAATACTTGTCAAAAAAACCAAGTCTCGCAACTCAGTTGTTCTACGGTAAAAAGTTGTGAGATCCATGTAATACCAAGTCCAGGCCAGGAAATCTTTAACATTTTACATAAATTATTGACTTGGCCATCGCATGAAAACACGTGTAAATTAAATTATTTAGTTCCCCTCCCAAGCCTCTACACAACGTCCCGATTTTTTTTTTGGGTCTCTTACCGCCCCCCCTTAAGCCGGCAGCGCCCAAAAGGGGGCGTTATCGCCCACTTTGGGAAAGACTGTTAACCGATCACAGAAACTAAAGGGATATGTGACAAGGGGGCGGGGCCGGTGTCACAGAAATATGCCCAAAAACAGAACACATTGCTCGTGAAAGCAATGATGACAGCAGCGACGTCATAATGTAAACAGCTTACATTGCTTGCGTAGTATTAAAGATAATTCGAAAGTTGAGTACTGATACCGCAGTGGATAATGAGTACATATTTTGATTTCTTTGTGTGTGTGAATTTCTAATGCGACACTGAGTTTCGAACTTAGCACATTAGTTGGCACCTCTCTATATCTCTATGTTGACCTTCATTGGTTGGGTTTTTATTGGCGGTCAAGCTGTAGATCCTGGCTACACAGGACTTGCAACGGTAAGAACGAGAGGTGGGAATAGTCCCATCCCAAATCATCATCAATGTTTTATCCCCATCCCCACCGCCAAGATAAGGAATTGAGGGAGTGCTAAATTAAATTAAAGCATTTTTTCACCAAAATGGATACGAAGTGAGACGAGCGACATAGTGGGCAGGTTATTTCCTCGATAGCAGAACTTGGTTCTGCGTTTTCGTTTCCACGAAATTTTGCTTATAAGTTATAATCATGTCTTGTCTCCGCCTCACTGTTTAATAGTCTCCACAAACTGTAGTAAACTTGCAATCTATGCCGGTTCACATTGACACAGGTACGTCTGTGGTTCTTGTCTTGCTTCCTTGGACCAAGTTTGCTTCGTATTCAGCCCCAGACCACAAAAAATACTATTCGTTTAGGAATTCTTTACCATTGGAACGAATAACGCTGCAATTTTTATTCTTATACGTTTATTACCCTTTCCAGTGTGTTCCGGGTGCTAATTCGCGAGATATTCGCTGGCTGGGTGCTGTTATCATTGACTGATGTCTTGGCCGACCCCTACATACTGAATACTCTCATAGTACTGGCCACGGGAGACGAGACCATGGCGCAGCTGCCCACCACTCCTAACTATAAGGTAAATAGGGATAGGGAAAAGACCGCGACAGAAGTCAAGTATAGTCTGGTCTGTGAGCACGTAGAATTTTGTCCAATGACCCCAAGCTACCCATCGTTATCGCTCGCGCGTAATTATGTTGCTGTCGCGCTCGCACACTCACTACGGCCGGGTGCCAGTCGCATAGTCGCGACAGCAATATAATTACGCGCGAGCGATAAGGATGGGTAGCTTGGGGTCATTGGACAAGATTCTACGTGCTCACAGACCGGGCTTTAGAAAATGATCATTCTCAAGCTTAAACTACAAACCTGGGGGGGGTTTAGTTATTTGTTGGAAAAATCGACAGCCACAGTTCATGTTTTTGATGGGATTTCACTTACCCAAACAGATTGGGATAAGCAGCAAGTATTTGACATTACCGTCCAGCAATCAATAGAAATACTTTGTATGAACTTGCAAATTCGATTCTTCTATTAGGTTTATCGCTACCCTACCAGTTTAGTCACTATCAATTTGTAAGCAACTAACTTAAAAATCATCTCATTTGATTCAAAATATTCATTATTTTTGACGTTAGATTAGAGGACAAATCGAGTTTTCAGGCAATTATTTCAATTTCAATCTTAATTGATCTATGCTATTGATTCCCAGGTAGAATTCCTGGAGCGTTTCGCGCGCCACACGGAATCCGTATACTGCCAGCGGCCCAAGCTCTTGAAAGTAGACCTGGAGTGGGTGATCAGCGACCAGGACTACTTCTACGCCTTCATGCAGCATCTGAAGGCCACCAGCCATATACATCTGCTGCAGTTTTATAAGGATATCAGTGAGTAGCTTTCACATTATGTATGTTTTTGATAGGAATAATAATTAAAATAATTATTCTGTGTAGTTGGTTTTGAATTTTATAATCTTTGATATTATGAAGTCCCTTTTCAGAATACTATTACTATTATTATTTGTTTTATAAAGCCTGGTCCGTGAGCACATAGAATTTTGTCCAATGACCCCAAGCTCGCGCGTAATTATGTAACGCGTTACATATTACGCGCGAGCAAAAAGGATGGGTAGCTTGGGGTCATTGGACAAAATTCTACGTGCTCACGGATCAGGCTTTAGATGGATTTGTAATTAGGTAAAACTCATAGCACTCGCCCGCCAGCAGGGCCGTCTGTAACTTACTAGGGGCCCTAGGGCCTGGAGAAAGATCTTTTATGACAACAGACGGGGGTCTCCTCGATCGCGGGGCCCTGGACACGTGCCCGAGTGCCCAATGGGAAAGAGGAGCCTGCCCGCCAGTTAATCGTTTCGAAAACGACTAACGTGAATGGGCTCCGCGCTTCTAGCGGGGAGATCTACGCAAAAAGTGCAAGACTACATTTTGAAAATAATTAATCACTTGTTACTGTGCTGCTTGCAGAATTATTCCAAACGAAGCTCCTAAATCCAGACCTGGATTCGTCCGAGCAAGCCGCGCTCCTACAAGAAGCTCGCGACATGTACGAGCTATACCTCTCGCCGCGGAGTCTCAGCGCCGTGCCGCTAGACGCCTCCATCGCTGCGGAACTACACGATATACTGCACAGCGCGCACAGCATCAAGCGGTGAGTGTACCAGCAACACTATGCGGACTCTAGCCGCCATGTCACAGCAAGCTCGGGACATGTACGAGCTATACCTCTCGCCGCGGAGTCTCAGCGCCGTGCCGCTAGACGCCTCCATCGCTGCGGAACTACACGATATACTGCACAGCGCGCACAGCATCAAGCGGTGAGTGTACCAGCAACACTATGCGGACTCTAGCCGCCATGTCACAGCAAGCTCGGGACATGTACGAGCTATACCTCTCGCCGCGGAGTCTCAGCGCCGTGCCGCTAGACGCCTCCATCGCTGCGGAACTACACGATATACTGCACAGCGCGCACAGCATCAAGCGGTGAGTGTACCAGCAACACTATGCGGACTCTAGCCGCCATGTCACAGCAAGCTCGGGACATGTACGAGCTATACCTCTCGCCGCGGAGTCTCAGCGCCGTGCCGCTAGACGCCTCCATCGCTGCGGAACTACACGATATACTGCACAGCGCGCACAGCATCAAGCGGTGAGTGTACCAGCAACACTATGCGGACTCTAGCCGCCATGTCACAGCAAGCTCGGGACATGTACGAGCTATACCTCTCGCCGCGGAGTCTCAGCGCCGTGCCGCTAGACGCCTCCATCGCTGCGGAACTACACGATATACTGCACAGCGCGCACAGCATCAAGCGGTGAGTGTACCAGCAACACTATGCGGACTCTAGCCGCCATGTCACAGCAAGCTCGGGACATGTACGAGCTATATCTCTCGCCGCGGAGTCTTAGCGCCGTGCCGCTAGACGCTTCCATCGCTGCGGAACTACACGATATACTGCACAGCGCGCACAGCATCAAGCGGTAAGTGGGACATTATTCATGAGGCTGTGCCTTATAGGATGTTTACTTTTACATGCACAGGTTTGTACTTATGCCAGCACAGTTTCTCAGCTGTGCAGGAAGAAGTTTCCATCGCTGCGGAACTACACGATATACTGCACAGCGCGCACAGCATCAAGCGGTGAGTGAGACATTATTCATGAGGCTGTGCCTTATAGGATGTTTACTTTTACATGCACAGGTTTGTACTTATGCCAGCACAGTTCCCAGCTGTGCAGGAAGAAGTTTCCATCGCTGCGGAACTACACGATATACTGCACAGCGCGCACAGCATCAAGCGGTGAGTGTACCAGCAGGCCTGTTCATCTCCGCGAGTTTACATCGAAAACAAAACACGCACGATGGCCCACCTACAGGATACTATTCGACAAGGCCTCACATACGAGCGAACATTGACTCACGCACGCGTATTCTTGTGTATGATGGAAGGAAATAAAGAAAATGGTGTACTAAATACTGTGCAGTATTTAACTGCCTGAATATGATAAAAACACAGAATGTACTTTTTTAAGTTGCCTCAAGACACTGAGAGGTAAATATTCATGATAATTCATGCTAAATCATGTATTTCCTCCGCCATTTTCCGCAGTTTGGCACCTCACGTCACATCATTTTACCGAAGTCAGCCCTATAGCTTCGGCGCAGTGCCGATCACTGACGTTTGTCAACAAAATGGTGCTTGACTCTTGAGACAGGCTAAATTACACCATATTGTCAATGACATTGAGCATACATTTTTTTAAATACCTTCGTGAAGTAAAACTTCTGTACGTAGTACTTATTATTATTCTGTGGTACTAGCAACACTATGCGGACACTAGCCGCCATGTCACAGCAAGCTCGCGACATGTACCAGCTATACCTCGCTGCACGATATACCTACTGCACAGCGCGCGCGCACAGCATCAAGCGGTGAGTGTACCAGCAACACTATGCGGACTATAGCCGCCATGTCACAGCAAGCTCGCGACATGTACGAGCTATACCTCTCGCCGCGGAGTCTCAGCGCCGTGCCGCTAGACGCCTCCATCGCTGCGGAACTACACGATATACTGCACAGCGCGCACAGCATCAAGCGGTAAGTGGGACATTATTCATGAGGCTGTGCCTTATAGGATGTTTACTTTTACATGCACAGGTTTGTACTTATGCCAGCACAGTTCTCAACTGTGCAAGAAGATTATTCCATCGCTGCGGAACTACACGATATATTACACAGCGCGGACAGTATCAAGCGGTGAGTGGGACATTACTCACGAGGCTGTAACCTTGTAAGATGTTTACTTTTACTTGCACAGGTTTATACTTATGCCAGCACAGTTCTCAACTGTGCAAGAAGATTATTCCATCGCTGCGGAACTACACGATATACTGCACAGCGCGCACAGCATCAAGCGGTGAGTGTACCAGCAACACTATGCGGACACTAGCCGCCATATCACAGCAAGCTTGTGAGTACGAGCTATACCTCTCGCCGCGGAGTCTCAGCGCCGTGCCGCTAGACGCCTCCATCGCTGCGGAACTACACGATATACTGCACAGCGCGCACAGCATCAAGCGGTGAGTGTGCAACGGGGCGTCTTAGCTAGCTCAGTCTGACACCCCGCTGTTTAGTACTAAGTTTGCCTTCTGCGATGAGGGATGTGTACCTATCCAGGATGCCTACAGGGATATTCGACCAAGGAAACGCACAATCAATAACACAATGGCACTTTTTATTTCAGGTTCCACAATAGTTCCTTATTCTAGTTTCACTGACTCTAAATTACTATTACTTAAATAATGAGCAAGTTATTCCACAATTACAAATCTATTATGACGAGAGGGATAGCGACGCGCCCGGTTCGCGTCTCGAAACTAGTTTACGTATCCGCGAGAGGGGCGGCGCCCTGTGCGAGGTTCAGCGAGTGTTAGTTCGGATACTTATAAACTAGGGGGGTAGGACGGTTCGCTCCAAAATCGGTGACCGAGGTCAACGAAGTGGGGATTCGTGCACCAAAGGTAAAAGGCTTGGGACCTACGTGGCGAGTGGGGAGGAATTACAGGAAGGGTGGCATCGGGATTGAGTAAAGCATGCACTCGGTAAGGATTTGAACGGGTATACAGGCAGCGATGGTTCGCTCGTGTCGCGGAAACCGCGCGAGCAGAAAGACCTATCGAGCCAGGTTAGTGGGAACAGTGAGGGCAGCTATTCACAAGTGTACCAGCAACACTATGCGGACTCTAGCCGCCATGTCACAGCAAGCTCGGGACATGTACGAGCTATACCTCTCGCCGCGGAGTCTCAGCGCCGTGCCACTAGACGCTTCCATCGCTGCGGAACTACACGATATACTGCACAGCGCGCACAGCATCAAGCGGTGAGTGGGACATTACTCAAGAGACTATCTTGTAAGATGTTTACTTTTACATGCACAGGTTTGTACTTATGCCAGCACAGTTCTCAACTGTGCAAAAAGATTATTCCATCGCTGCGGAACTACACGATATACTGCACAGCGCGCACAGCATCAAGCGGTGAGTGTACCAGCAACACTATGCGGACACTAGCCGCCGTGTCACAGCAAGCTCGGGACATGTACGAGCTATACCTCTCGCCGCGGAGTCTCAGCGCCGTGCCGCTAGACGCCTCCATCGCTGCGGAACTACACGATATACTGCACAGCGCGCACAGCATCAAGCGGTGAGTGCACCAGCAACACTATGCGGACTCTAGCCGCCATGTCACAGCAAGCTCGGGACATGTACGAGCTATACCTCTCGCCACAGAGTCTCAGCGCTGTGCCGCTAGACGCTTCCATCGCTGCGGAACTACACGATATATTGCACAGCGCGCACAGCATCAAGCGGTGAGTGTACCAGCAGGCCTGTTCATCTCCGCGAGTTTACATCGAAAACAAAACACACACGATGGCCCACCTACAGGATAATATTCGACAAGGCCTCACATATGAGCGAACATTGACTCACGCACGCGTATTCTTGTGTATGATGGAAGAAAATAAAGAAAATGGTGTACTAAATACTGTGCAGTATTTAACTGCCTAAATAATAATAAAAACACAGAATGTACTTTTTTAAGTGGCCTCAAGACACTGAGAGGTAAATAAGTAGTTAATAATATTCATGATAATTCATGCTAAATCATGTATTTCCTCCGCCATTTTCCGCAGTGCCGATCATTGACGTTTGTCAACAAAATAGTGCTTGACTCTTGAGACAGGCTAAATTACACCATATTATCAATGACATTGAGCATATGTACATTTTTTTAAATACCTTCGTGAAGTAAAACATCTGTACGTAGTACTTATTATTATTCTGTGGTACCAGCAACACTATGCGGACACTAGCCGCCATGTCACAGCAAGCTCGCGACATGTACCAGCTATACCTCGCTGCACGATATACTGCACAGCGCGCACAGCATCAAGCGGTGAGTGGGACATTACTCAAGAGACTGTCTTGTAAGATGTTTACTTTCACATGCACAGGTTTTTACTTATGCCAGCACAGTTCTCAACTGTGCAAAAAGATTATTCCATCGCTGCGGAACTACACGATATATTGTATTGCACAGCGCGGACAGTATCAAGCGGTGAGTGGGACATTACTCACGAGGCTGTAACATTGTAAGATGTTTACTTTTACATGCACAGGTTTGTACTTATGCCAGCACAGTTCTCAGCTGTGCAGGAAGAAGTTTCCATCGCTGCGGAGCTGTACGATATATTGCACAGCGCGGACACTATCAAGTGGTGAGTTTACTGTGTGCAACGGCACTTGCCTATGTACACTTATACCAGTACAGTTCTCAGCTGTGTAGTAAGACTTTGTCGAGGAGCTATGGAGGAGGACTGTGATTAATGATACATATCGTAACGTAACACTGATACAACAACGAGGGTGTGTCATATACAGCTTATAGTTATACTTTCCTTCCTTCATACTGCGAAAAAAACGCCACTACCGCTGCGGACCTATGTGACATACTGCACTGTGTATAACGGTGCTACTGGTACTGACATGTTATAACTGCCTAACGCGCATTCAGCATGGAGTAATAAACTTTATTTTGTTTTTGTCTGTAGATTACAAACGAGTAGAGCGTTGTACCAAGCCGCGAGACAGTCGCACGCCATCCTAGAGAAAATTATGCTGCCAAAGTTTTTACACAGTGAAGAGGTATTTACTACATTTTTTACACTTTTTAGAAGGACATTAATAATAAATGTCTTAATGCAAAAGTGATTATTAAATGCAAAATACTTTTGTTTTCAGTATTATAAATTAGTGATTGGATCTCGAATACCGACTGGCTATCAGAAACAAATGACCAGAAAGTAAGTGGAAAAGTCTTATGCCCGTTTTCACCATCAATCCCTAATTTTTGAGTGACCCTTATGACAACTAAATTCCTGTTATTTGTTACCTACCATAGGGGTCACTTAAAAATTAGGAGTTGATGGTGAAAACGGGCATTAGTTCCTCTAGATTCTCTAGTTCCTCTCCTGTTTTAGAAGAAATATATTTTTACCTTTTAGGCCCAGAACAGACGGTGAAACGCAACTGCAACGAAACTGCAACTTTGTGATGATTCTGATGAATGAAACTGAAACTGAAAGTTTCAAACTGGTCGCGTCATGTGTGGTCTCTCAACGGACGCTCTGGCGGAAACTTATATGCAACTCAAAAGTAACTAGCAGTTGCAGTTTCGTTGCAGTTGCGTTACACCGTCTGTTCTGGGCCTTATCCAACAGATATTCCAGCCAGTAACGTCTATTATATCTTTCCAGGCCTCAAGAAAGACTTCTACAAACAGCTTTAAAACTAGGCAACAGGTTAAAAGGTGCTCTAAGGCCTCAGACCATAGACGGGCAGGTTTTAGACTGTTTCACCAACTCCGAGGATTCCGAAGGGGACGGCGGGGAGAATATGGATATCTTGAAGTATTTAGAGTCGCTGGCGAATGAGGATAGTTTAAGGGAGCAAGACTTGAGCACGTACAAAGTCGTGCTTACCAACGTTGAGACGAGATTGGTGAGTACATTCTTAATTTTCTTATTTTCAAAAACAGGCTCTGTTCCAATTTTATTTCCTTTACCCATTTGTCTGATCAGCAGTAAGAAACTATTTTCTGGTTAAAAAATCTAGATTCTAGATTGTCCACTGATTGTTCACAATGTCGGCAAGGACTCACTTTCAATTACATTGAGGCAGCGACTGAGCTATCAAACATAATGTCGCTAAACGAAACTCGTTTAGTGATCAGCACACTCGCTAATGGATTATCCCAGCCATTATACTTCGTAGTGCTGACCGTTGGACGCTTTCGCACAATCACTTAATTAATAGTATAGTAGTATTTAATAGCCAGGCATAATATAATAGTATCGGAACATAACGCCTGACTACATAATTTGAAACTGGGTAACGTTCCTTGAACAAGGCAATATGTAGTTGATAGTTTTTCGCGTTTTCGTTAGCGATGGGACAAACATCTCATTCTCAACGTGATTATTCCAGCAAGCGCCGCCTCGTCGCGGCACCGTCCGTGTTTTCACGCTCGCCGTGCACCGCGCCGCGCCCGGCGCCGCGCCAAGACTGTGGGCGCTCGACCGAAGCGAACATGACTTCCACTTATTACGAGCTAAACTGCTTGAGTTCCACGGGGATAAACTATTACATGAGCTTGCGCTGCCTTCCCGCAGGTAACTAGCGTGTGTAGAGCGCGTTAAAACAATTACAACAGCTATCTACGGTCCGTCGTAGTGGAATTGATGTTCACTCTAGCCGCGCTTGGCGCCGCGCCAAGACTGTGGGCGCTCGACCGAAGCGAACATGACTTCCACTTATTACGAGCTAAACTGCTTGAGTTCCACGGGGATAAACTGTTACATGAGCTGGCCTTGCCTTCCCGCAGGTAACTAGCGTGTGTAGAGCGCGTTAAAACAATTACAACAGCTATCTACAGGCCGTAGTGGATTTGATGTTCATACTTAGCCGCGCCGCGACTGTGGGCGCTCGACCATGACTTCCACTTATTACGAGCTAAACTGTTAGAGTTCCACGGAGATAAACTGTTACATGAGCTGGCCTTGCCTTCCCGCAGGTAACTAGCGTGTGTAGAGCGCGTTAAAACAATTATAACAGCTATCTACAGGCCGTAGTGGATTTGATGTTCATACTTAGCCGCGCCGCGACTGTGGGCGCTCGACCATGACTTCCACTTATTACGAGCTAAACTGTTAGAGTTCCACGGAGATAAACTGTTGCACGAGCTGGCCTTGCCTTCCCGCAGGTAACTAGCGTATGTAGAACGCGTTAAAACAATTACAACAGCTATCTACGGTCCGTCGTAGTGGAATTGATGTTCACTCTAGCCGCGTCGCAACTGTGGGTGCTTGACCGAAGCGAGCATGACTTCCATCTGCTTCGGGCTAAGCTGTTACAGTTCCACGGGGATAAACTATTACATGAGCTTGCGCTGCCTTCCCGCAGGTAACTAGCGTATGTAGAGCGCGTTAAAACAATTACAACAGCTATCTACGGTCCGTAGTGGAATTGATGTTCACTCTAGCGGCGCTCCGCCTGTGGGCGCTCGACCGAAGCGAGCATGACTTCCACTTATTACGAGCTAAACTGTTAGAGTTCCACGGGGATAAACTACTGCACGAGCTGGCCTTGCCTTCCCGCAGGTAACTAGCGTGTGTAGAGCGCGTTAAAACAATTACAACAGCTATCTACGGTCCGTCGTAGTGGATTTGATGTTCATACTTAGCCGCGCCGCGACTGTGGGCGCTCGACCGAAGCGAACAATGACTTCCACTTATTACGAGCTAAGCTGCTTGAGTTCCACGTAGATAAGCTGCTGCACGAGTTGGCCTTACCTTCCCGCAGGTAACTAGCGTGTGTAGAGCGCGTTAAAACAATTACAACAGCTATCTTCGGTCCGTCGTAGTGGAATTGATGTTCACTCTAGCCGCGCTTGGCGCCGCGCCAAGACTGTGGGCGCTCGACCGAAGCGAACATGACTTCCACTTATTAAGAGCTAAACTGCTTGAGTTCCACGGGGATAAACTATTACATGAGCTTGCGCTGCCTTCCCGCAGGTAACTAGCGTATGTAGAGCGCGTTAAAACAATTATAACACCTATTTAGGGTCCGTAGTGGATTTGATGTTCATACTTAGCCGCGCCGCGACTGTGGGCGCTCGACCGAAGCGAACATGACTTCCACTTATTACGAGCTAAACTGCTTGAGTTCCACGGGGATAAACTATTACATGAACTTGCGCTGCCTTCCCGCAGGTAACTTAGCGTGTGTAGAGCGCGTTAAATCAATTTATTTATTTATTTNGAAACTAATCGAGTTTGGGTTCGTTGAATTGAATTTGTCTTTTCGAGCACTTTAATGCTAGATGATGTCCAGGGTCCTGATGATTTTTTGCCTGTTTCGCCACTTCTGGATAAGTTGTGGATAGCCTGTCTGACGGATCATTTGACACATTATTATAGAAAATACGTGCTATCTAGATTGATCAGACACTTAGAAGAATGCTAATACTCCACTTTAAAAAAAGGTGACAAAACCTTGTTGAAGAATTATAGACCCATTTTGCTTCTGAGCCATGTCTACAAGCTGTTTTCGATAGTCATTCTAGCAGGCTCGACGACTTTCAGCCCCCCGAAAAAGCCGATTTCCAAAAATGCTTTAGTACCATATACCATAATAATATACGCAAAGGCAGATTATACGGAAGATCAAGGAGTATAATCAGCCACTTTGCGTTTGTGAACTATGAGAAAGCCTTCGATTCGTTTGAAACATGGGCAGTGCTTCAGTCTCTTCAACTGTGCCAAATTGACTATTGATTGATACATTAAAGTGTTGAAAGGCTTGTACAAACACGCCACAGTGACAGTCCGTTTGAAGATCAGGACCCGAAACCTATCCAGTTGCAGCGAGGGGTGAGACAGGGAGACGTCATCACCACCGCCCTGGAAGATGTTTTCAAGCTTCTGGGCTGGAGCGGATTCAGCATAAATATCAACGGTGAGTACATCACCCAGACAGCAGACGTAGTCGTAGTCATGGCTGAGATCGTGGAAGATCTAGGCACAATGCTCGATGGCCTCAATAGAGTCTCTCAACAAGTGGGTTTCAAAATGAACATGGACAAGATTTAAAAATCACGTCTAAAGACCGTGTTGCACCCACTCCTCTAAAAGTTGGAGACTCTACACTCGAGGTTGTTGACAATAATGTATACCTGGGACAAATAGTCCAGTTAGGTAGGTCCAATTTCGAAAAAAAGGTCGATCATCGAATCCAGCTCGGCTGGGCAGCCTTTGGGAAGCTTTACGATATTTTCACGCGGCTTCTCCGTCGCGTCGCCACTCCACTTTAAATCCACTTTGAATCCTCTTTGAATCCGCTTGCAATCCGCCAGGGTGGCAAGGGCCTTAAAACTCAGAGGCACACTGATGTTCAAATACCGTAGCCGAGTCCTAAAGCCGCGGTACGCGTTNAGACATGACTTATCTTATAAGTAGGTACCTACTTACTTACTACAAAATATGCAAAATAAGTTTCATTTACTAAAAAAAAAAGAAACAAAAAACGGTTACCATAGCTCAATCTGACACAAACAGTTGAGACGCCACAAAGGAGTATAGTTTCCTTTTATACTGTGTTTGGGAGTAGTGCAGGAGATCACTTTCAGTGGCACCAGTGGCCCCGTAGAACCTGTTATATTCAACGCAGAGTCTATTAACGATATTTTGTGCTCCCAGATTTGTCCTATACCGCTTGACAATCAATTACAACATGTATCTCAGGTCTATAGTAGACTTGATTGCAGCGAGCATGACTTCCATCTGTTAAGAGCTAAACTGTTAGAGTTCCACGGGGATAAGCTGTTACACGAGTTGGCGCTGCCTTCCCGCAGGTAACTAGCGTGTGTAGAGCGCGTTAAAACAATTACAACGTCTATCTAAGGTTCGTAGTGGACTTGATGTCATATCCATCCGTCATACCGTTACCGCAGTGGATGCTTTCCTCTACGGCTCTTGTGCACGGATCTCGAAAGTGGCAACTTGAATATAGTAAGCGGACGGCGGATAAGATGTTGTAAACGTCCGCTAAAAAGCCACCATTTTTAGTACGGTTTTTAGTGCCTGCAAATTAACATATTATTATTTCCTGTGCAACTAACGTTATAATTACCAAATATTATTACAGAGACAACAGTCCAATGGAGACCCTCCGCTACAAATACGAAGACTTCCTCCAACGCTTACTCCAAAAAAGCCTTCTTCAAACCAGCGAGCTCCTCCACCTATTCCTCACAGTGGATGGAGACTTCTCTATGGTCGTGCAAGCATCGACCCTGAATGCAAATAGCAGTGACTTGGCTAATATCTATCAGTCCGTCACGCATAAACTGAGGAAAGAGAAGGGACAGCATTTGGAGAGCTTTCTGAAGAATCTGCTCGTGTCGTCGGATATTGACCGGTATCAGGCGCTGTGAGTATTTTATATTGTTGGAGTATTTTTAGCTATTCCACGTATTCATAAGTGGACGGAGACTTTTCCATGTTGGTGCAGGCGTGAACTCTAAACGCTAACAGCATATTTTTTTTTAAAGAAGGAGTAACCTTAACCCCTCGATCTATGCTAAATTAATTATGCTTGTTTTGAGTGTGAGAGGAAGAATTCCTTGGAGACCGACACCGATATTATTGTCGTCTTAAAACATTTTTGACTTCGCTAGATGGGCTGAGTTGCATCACCTTTATAACTATAACTATAACCGGTTAATGTAAGATGGTGCAACCCAGCCTTAATAATATCACTAACTTGTCGTATACCGTGAGCACTGTATCAGTGCTAGTTTCAATGACTTTCGCATTGTTGTTTGGATTCTCGGTATACGATCAGCTAATCAGTGTAGAAATACTATCTGACACATTATTTTATTGTACCTCACAGCAAGCAAGGCACAGCGCGCGACGTGGAAGAAGCGATAGAAGTGAGCGAGGAGGCCGACACTATACCTCTACAGCGGCCGCGGCGTGCGCGAGATATAACAGACTCCGTGTTTGGGGACAACTTCGGAGTACCACCTAGCGCGTGCCACCCTGGGGACATACAACATCAGGACGCTGTGTGTGGGTTCACTCAGTGCGCCATGTTTTTGTGTGAGTACTATGTCCCTAATGTAAATTAAATATACCGAATACATACCTCACAATAGATCGAATAATTACAACAACCTTTTATTTGGCTTATTATTATTATCTTGAACTTGAAATGTGAATTTTAGACTTACAACTCGTTGATAATTTAATTTCGTTCGTATGTGATTAGGGTTGCCAGGTCCAAAATCACAAAAGCCGGACTTTGTGTTTCATTTGGCCGGAAATTTTAGCCCAAAAGCCGGACATGTGACTGCAACTAGTGTCACTGCAATTAGTCAGCTCATGAGTGAGTACTATCATCATCGGTTGCTAACCAACATCCAGATGCATACGCTTCATATGATTCTGTGGCTCGACTTTCGCCTGGCGTGGCAACCAAATAAAAAGCCTAACAAAAGCCGGACAGGCCGGACAAGGAAATATTTGGCCGGACAAGACCTTAAAAAGCCAAACATGTCCGGCTAAAGCCGGACGACTGGCAACCCTATATGTGATATTTATCCAATGCATTGTTTTGTCATTTGAAATGAAAATCAAAATATGACTCATTTTGTAACTTCCCGCCAAAACAAGTACTGACAGCTGCCACAGATATACGAAAAAAGGTTTTGCGTTTCGTTTCTGCACTCCGCTATGTTACAACAAAAAAGAATTCATGACCATTAATCAATAATAAGCTTTATATTTTATAATTGTTTTTCTTTCTTTTTGCAGTAGTGAAAGTGGTGAAGGCCCGTGGATTCGTGACTGCCATAGCTGGGAGCGTGTTTTGTGTGACGCGCGAACTCGTAGATGACGCTTTCGACGCGCTACTCAATAAGGCTCTATGTCGCTTATTATCGGAAAGAAGATTGGCACATTTAATACGATTAGGACATGGTATGTAATTTATGCTTACAAATTTAACTAACTTTTAAATAAAATAGCAGTGTTTATTTCTAGATTTTACATTTATTGATATTGACCATAATTTCTCCACAGGGCTATTATTTGGTAAGAAAGCATCAACTCCCCGCACCGATCCCGCGAGACAGCGAGAGTTGGCGCGGACACAACTTCTGCAGAGCATTCCTTCGCCAGCCGTGTTAATAGCCGGCAATGGCCTGCCAGTGGCTGTGCACAAGGCATTTGAAATTATACAGAGGCCACAACTCAACAAACAGGTAAGTTTTTAGACAAAAAATACTATACAACCGAGAAAGTCAAGTGTTTAATAGAAGAAATCAAAAAATTCAAAAGAATTACATATCTAATTATTCCATAATCTTGAAATTTAATATAGGATTCATTTGTTGCAGTTGGTCTACAATTTACTGGACTTGTGCCTGATGGAACTATTCCCCGAATTAGGTGCTTCAACTGAGCCATCAAAAGAACCAAAGAGTTGAGAATAAATTTAACCCACTATGTGCTATGAATTCTGTATTTACTTGCCAGAGTCAGACTAAGGCCATCACGGGACCGAACAGGTCTTAGGTACAGCCAAAATTGTGATTTCGATTATTTTTTTCACATTAAGGCCTTAGTCAGCCACTGGGAAAAATACATATTTAACATTCTGTAAATTTACAGTTGATTATAAACTTTAATGTTAACTTTATTGTGAGTAATTTGTATTTAATTGTAAATATTCTATTGTATCATAAATATATTTTTATAATATTAGTTATAAAGCCTTTATTCGTAACCTTGTGTTAAGGTTGGTGGATGGACAAGACCATAATTTTGTTAGCATGTAAATGAATATTTTTAACTGTTTACTTGTTTTCAGTAATGAACACCAATTACAAAATATTTTGATAAAAGAACTGGTTTTATTTGAAAATACCTTGCTATCTTACAAAAATCATTAATTAAATGAATAAATATAACAGTACTTTAATGGACAGCCAGCCGTACTGTGGCCTGTACTGAACCGGTACTGAACTGTGTAATAATTTATGAATAATTAAAGTTATTGACCACCCGAGCACCCTATGAAATTCATTTATTCTATATTAAGTATAACTTTTGTCTGAAAAACAATGATTGGTCCATACAGATATAGTTCCAAAATACTGGACTGTCCTGTCGATGACATTGACAGTGGGGCGCCACCGTCAATACCGGATCGCTGGTTCAGATTTTTGCCATGTTGGAAATCATATAGTTGAACGATGGTAGCGCCCCCCTGTCATTGAGTTTGGTGGGACAGTTCAGCGTAGGTCATCTATATTTTCAATATTATGCCAAACTTATTCTGCTCACGGTCGCGGTCCTCAATAGATTAATTAGTAAAAAAAAGTAAAACAATAAACGAACTTACAAGCAATAACAAAACGCAGCATTGACACATGCGTTCAAAAATTAAAGCATCAAAACAAACTATACTCCGACAAATTTTAAGAGTCTTTGAGAACAAGGGTTCGATGGGCAATAGGCAGCGTATTATTCTTAGCCGGGTTATGAACATGTCACGAGCGCCAGCCTTGTTTCTAAACTGGAAAAAGTTAAATGTCAATCAATTTATTTACAGTGGAAAGTAAAAGGCGATGGGTGTGTTGCTTTGTATTGTAGATAGAACGAAATAGTTATTAGTTAAAACAAATATTAGGTAATAATCATTAAAATTTTAGTGTAAACATAGTCGTTCGTTGTGTAAAATAAATCAGTAATCGTTTGGCAGTGTTTCGAAGTGGTTGTGTGTGTTGAATTTGAATCGAATTAGACATAAACATTCGAGTTATTTAATGAGACTTGTTTACGACAAGTATTCCATTGTAAATATCAAGAATAAAACAAAGGTTTTGGTTTAGAGTGATATGTTTGCTGAAGATTTGACCATGTTATGGACGGAGGTGAGAAGTGTGTCTAAGAACTGTTTGTAAACGGATCCAGTGCAGTGCTCAAGTTGTATTTTGGAGACTGAATCATGTCGAGTTCTCCGTGCCAAAAAGGCGGGATGCGCCTGAGCGAAGCGTTGGATAACATGCAACTGGCGTATAATCCAATCACGAAGCAATTACATTTTGTGAGCCCTAAAGTGGAGAAACCGCCCGAGCAGACAGTCGACGAAATTGATAAGTTGTCTAAAAAGAGCAGCTTCAGTGATGAAGGTAACTTCTCAATATCTACTTGTGAGAAGAGTGATACGAGTGACTCTCCGAAGAGCACACTGCAATGGGGAGGCAGTGTGAGTGGCCACCAGCGAGGGAAAGACGGTGGTTCGTTCTCGAGCACCGTGTCGAGTCTGTCGGAGTGTTCTCTGGGGTCCAGTGCATCGAGGGAGGATGAGCTCGGGGACGTGATCACTGGTGACAGTGACCAGGCTAAGCTGAAGAAGAAAGGACTCTCTAGTTTCTTTAGCAGGTATGTTGTATTTTTTTACTGACAAAATTACATGTTTATTTAATTTTCCAGTATAGAAACAGGTACAAAAACACCTCTTATCCCAGAGATTTTCTGTTTTGCATGTTATAGCATTAAATTTTAATTCTACCTATGTTATTTTGTCTGTCACTACAAAAAGGTTAAAGGAAATATGTGAAGAAAACCAAGTGGCCTACTAACATCCTTCCTTTTAATTAATTTTATCAAGCAATGCCAATATTTTAGCATATTTTATCTTTTGTTCTAATATTGTTTTTATATAATTTATTACAATAAAAATATATCCACTTCATGTAGAGATTTTTTAAAGACAATACCTACTGATATGTTTATGTTAATGATTCAAGTCATTAGTTTAGTATGTTTTGCTTAGAAAACATTAGTGACTTAAATAACAATCTTCCTATTATTTTGAATAAAATAAGACAATAATTAATGTTAACAGCAATTAAAATAATAATTATTCTAAGCTATTTGATAAACAAATACAACTATCTAAGTAGGTTTTTAAGTGCAAAATAAATTTTATTGAATTTTATCTTATCATTTTCAATTACTAAGTGGAATGTAAACAAACATTGCTAGACAGATATGCTATGGGGTTGAATAACTCTATTTCAAGGGCAAGAAACTCCAGCACCCCATAATAAGAAGCCATGCAAGTGTAACAAAAGAAGGCTTGTATTTATTCAAAGTGCCTAGTTGACTTTCAGCTTTATTGCTTGAGAAACTGGGTGGATTTTCTTTTAGACTTTCTGTCTGTGCAACAAACCAGAATGGGTAGGTATTTGAAGTGTAACCTCATTTTAAACTTGCCATCAATTTAATATTTAAAGGATTTAAAAGGGAAGTGTGAAATAAAGTTATGCTAGTATTTTACAAAAATAGTTTATTTGGCTACATAATAATAAATAATCCTTGAACTAAAAGTACAAGGCCAAAAAATACTAACTAAATAATTTAGATCCAAATACAAATGCAATTATTTATTATATTCATGTCAAGTCTTTGAAGCTGCTATAAAAATATACAATTTATTAGACTACTTTTCCATATTTATCAGCATCTAGATGAATTAATTCACAAGATATATGAAATAGTTTCTTTTGGTACTCTGGATTCTTTGAAAATTTACTGCTTATTCCTTCAATGCAGTTACTAATGTAAAGGCCACCTTTCTTCTCCAATTCTTCATCAAAACACGTGTGGAGAATGGAAACTGCACCCTTAGCTGGGGTTTTGAAGAACATCTTCATAGCCCAAGGGAACATCCTTCTGAATAAAGTCTTTTCAAATAGATCCGTGTCCACTATTCCTGGGTGGACAGCATAACACTTGACTGGGCAGGACTCCTCTTCCAAAAGTTTATTTATGTACCGTGCACTCATCAACTGTAACAAAACGAACAGAAATTAGGGAAATAAACAAGGAAATGTACCATATTTGTAGAGTAGGAAATATTATTTGAAATATTTACCTGTGCCAATTTTGACTGGGAATATGCAGCAGTGGTATCATAATACTCCTTCATATTTATGTCATCAAAGTAAACTTTTCCAGGGTAATGTGCACAGGAGGTAACATTTACAACTCTGGATGATTTCCCTAGAGTGCCACCCTTTTTTAACACTGGCAATAAGAGATGTGTCAAATAAAAGTGCCCAATATGGTTCACTGCCAACTGTGTCTCTATTCCATCCTCTGTCAGCTTAAAATCTCCAAACATAATTCCTGCATTGTTGACTAGTATGTGTACTGCTGGGTACTCCCTTGACACATTCTCAGCGAATTCTTTTACAGATTTTAACGACTGCAAGTCAAGTTTATACGCCTTCAAATTGGCACCATTCTCCATGGTTTCTGCTAGTTTATTCACCAGTTCAGGGTTTCGTATTCCCATTACAACAGTCATGTTCGCTTGTAGCAGTCCTCGTACCACTTCGGTGCCAATGCCGCGCGCTCCGCCGGTTATAACGGCAACCCTTCGGTTTGCGTCTGGCAACACTATCTTGTTCCTTCTGACGTTCACCCAATCGTCGATCAATCCTCCGACGCCGGCCCCCTGCATGTCGATCGTATATCGCAGCTCGCTCAGAATGTACTTGATGGGTTTATGTCTGTTAAGGTACCAGTAAACAGCCGCGGCTGCAGTCAGCATAGCGGCTGAGGCTATAGCAAACGACATGGCGAGGTTATGTTTTGTTTTCGATTCGTCCGCCCGGCGCAACGCGGCTCTAGCACTGACGCGAGTTGCTTTCACTCTATTGGAAATCCTCAACGCTTTCTCTCGGGCCCCTGTTTGTATTCGTGTTGTACCGTTAGTCCTGAGGTCGACTGATTCCACTGATGATGCTTGTTAAACACAACGTTATGTTTTTTATCAGGCAGCAGATGCGTGTTACCGTAATAATGCCAGGCATGTGACTACTGTCCGTCTTGCGTCATGCCGATTTCTAGTTTGTTTGTGGACGTGTCCTCAACTTGTTTAGAGTGCTAAAATTTTGCATTTATAACTGTAATTTATTCAGTGAACTTGTACTATGAATATTTATCGCTCGTCGCCACGTCTGGCGTCTGTTTGCGCGATAAAGCTACGCCACAGACTGACATTCCGGGAACGAGACGCGTCGGAAATGTTATCGTCGGCGCATGCGCACATAGTATTTGCTTTCATTATTTCTATTTATGGGTTTAAACGTCATTGTTAAAGCAAATATAGGTACTTTTGTACTATTACTATAATTAAAGTCTAATTTATACCTGCTAGTAAGTAGAAAAATTAGGCCAAAGATTAAGTTATCCAATTGGTATCCGCCCTAAATGTTTTACCGTTATTATCACCAGCTATCTGAAGCCTTGGGAGAGGCCTTTGTCCAGCTAGTCATTTGGCTGAAACGATACGATAAGATACGATATCACCATCTCAAATGGTTGTGTCGATGTTTTTAAGGACAGTTGAATCATTCATAGTTAATTCTTAGCTTTGCTTGCTCCCCTCTTTAGAATTTAACGAAGGGTCTTTGAACCGCGGCTGCTGCACCGCCGATGCGTGGCGAGCGTGACGTAACTAACTGATCGTTCAATAATACTAACTTGAAACTATCTGTGACGTCACACGACGCGTGACGTCGGATACTTAGGATTTCCCAAATTGTAGATTACCTAATTTGATCGCTTATTTTCATTATCAATGACTTTTTTAATATTTTACGCGATACTGTAATAGTTTAACGTTATAAAAATCGATACTATAGTAATAAGTCGTTCATCCACGCAGTCATCATCGATTTCCAAGAATCTTAATTAACATTTTATTAATTAGATCTCGTATCTTTATTATTCTACGAAACGCATAACTTAGCGTAGCTCAGTATTTTATTTCAACGTATCTAATTACATATACCCATAAACATGGTCCTTCGAGCCGGACAGGTGTCATGTTCACTTTTATAAATTCTCCCGGGAGGCTGTCGACTGAAATGTTTAATTGCTTCGTATCTTATATCAAATAAAAGAGCGTAGAGAATAAAGATGAGGAGTTTTAGCATTTTAGTTAATTAAAAGCGTTAAATCCGCTCTAATTTACATCGCTTAAGGTTTTTTGTAAACCTAACGCTTAATTAATTTACTTATGAAGTAACTGCTTCATTAGACGTAATACTCAATTGCTGTAATCGGTGACTCGAAGTCGTTCGTGTTTTTAATGACAATACTTAATCCATGCTTGATTTGGTTCTTTGGTAACTTGGGTTGGTGTAATTAAAAGACCTCTTAGAATCAGTTGGTGAGATAAGCTGCACCTCTTTTTAATTTAAGACCACATATTTTATTGTACCACATTATCTCGGTGAATAAATAATCTTTAAATCTTTAAATCTTTAAATCTTTAAATCTGGTTTTTGTTGTAAACCATGTGCTAACGTGCTAAAACATCATAAAGGTAGCAGGAAGGCGCTGGACGCAGACCGCTACCAACCGGGCAGCATGGAAAGCATTGGAGGAGGCCTATGTTCAGCAGTGGACGTCCTGTGGCTGAGATGATGATGATGATGATGTGCAAGACACATATTTGTTCACTAAAGACCTAGCTTCAACTAATAATAGGGTAAGCGCATAAACTGCATCAACTGCATGGCATTGTGATGACGTAATAATTATTCACAGATAATGGTCACTTGCATCGCGATCGCAATTAATATTTTTGTTTCATGTGCATATTATGTACATTCCGTACACCTGCAGACCTGCACACATCGCTGTATGTATGATGCATCAGCTGTACATAATGCATCAGCAGGTGTCTCTACATAAAGGAAGGACCAATATACTTAATGAATGAGAAAGAAGGCAGAGACGAAAAAGGCCTTTGATTATAATTACGTACGATGCAGATTGCAGAAACATTGTAATAAAACCATAAAGCTGAACTTCATCAAATCCACAGAAAATACATACAGTTAATTTTCAGCTATAAAATATTATGCGACGCACTTTGTGCCAAGCAAAACGGGTTACAAACGCAGCGTGAATGTAAATCCCTCCACACAATAGCCAATCCCATGCATCTACCGGTAACCTGTTCTGGCAACGCGTTCCAGTGTTGCTAGCCCTTTCGTACACACAATAATAAATTGATTATTCGACACCTTTAATACCTAGTCAAGAATTTTTCTAACGAATCTAAGTAATATAAGTCTGAGTTTGTTAGTTTAAAGATTAATGCCTGTTTTCACCATCAATCCCTAATTTTTAAGTGACCCCTATGAAAACATAATTCCCGTTATGTATAACCATAGAGGTCACTTAGAAATTAAGGATTAATGGTGAAAACGGGCATGAGAAACCTTTTAACGACATAAAACTGAATCCTACAGTTCTTCTTTTGCTTACTTTATAAGACATCAGCATACAACTGAGAAATCATTCATAATTGGATCAAAAATTGAGATGATTATGTGTATTACTAAACTAAACTGTTGAGCTGGCAACACAGACGCGACCAGACTGAACGCTACCTTTGCAGCTAACCTTGGACCATGAACTACGTTATTGCCCACCCATTGCTGCTTTCTTGCGAAGTTAAAACTCGCCCAAATCAATGTGAGGAAATTCAGTCGATTAGATCTTCCATTGCCGCGTACTTCCTGGCTTGATACACAAAAAGTACGACACTTGAGTAACTATGGAAAATGATCGTGTCAAAGGTATTGTTTGCACCAAAAAAATGGCACTCTTGCAAAATAATACGTATAATATTTTATTGGAACAGAGAGATAGCAAACATTTCGATAATATCTTTCATCACTTCTTTGAAGAATCCTATAGGTGTTTATCCATCAATACTCGTTCACCATGACGTCAATCGAAGCTGATTGACAAACAATCATTCGGCTATTTTTACCAACGTTTTTAATCATAAAGATAGAGAAAGGCATTATAGCCAAGCCAGTGGCTACCCGCTCGGCTTGATTGGACGATAATAATTATGCATGAATGACGCAGACTGCACGGCGTGTGAACGTGTCACCTGACACCAAACATGTGCATTATGTAGGTAGGAGGCAAGGAACACGGAAAAATTACAAAAGAAACGAGGTTTCTAAGAAGTAGAACAGTGTTTAATTATTCAAACGAATGTTCTCAGAAAGTTTTCTGTAATATTAGAGTGAATTTGCATTGAATAGAACAGAAAACAATTCCGTTATTCCAAAAATCTGGAGTAGAAACACTTCAACTCCTAAAACGACGTCATATCTTAATTTGACCCTTTTGCTCCTCTTCTAAATCTCTAAAATAAGAATCACTAGTCTCGCACAACGAACAGCCTCACTGAAAAACACGAAAATTCACCGTTCAACAATAGATGATGGTAGGCTTACTTATTGTCGCCTTTCGCCTTGGGGGAAACTGGCAATGTCGTTGGTTGCGCCAAAGTCCGCCTCAGCTGTTCGCCAAGGTTCCCTACATTCGTGTCAATCTGTTTTTACTTCACTACGTCATCCACACTTATACATGCTTATGTATAATTGGCTACCGTTTAAATGCTTGTGAGTTGTGATGTGCTCATATGACTCATTGGCTTTTGTGAGATAGTTGTTATCATGAGTGCCTTATGCCCGTTTTCACCATCAATCTCTAATTTTTAAGTGACCCCTATGGTATTGGTAACACATAACAGGAATTTTGTTTTAATAGGGGTCACTTAAAAATTAGGAATTCATGGTGAAAACGAGCATTAGTGTCTCAATAGAATTAAAAAACCACCCTTACTGAATACTAACGGTCCATGTCAGAACTATTATATATATAATAAATAAATTATCCAGCCAGCATCCAGGGTTTACTGTTGGGTTAGCTACAGATGTCATTGCGCACTCTCTAATCAACACATTTATTGGAAATTTGTGTTTCATTGCAACCAGTCTTTTTTGCTTTGTCGCCTATTCATGGTGCGGTATTGTTCGAGTTTTTACCACCTCCGTAATTAGTCCATTGTTGATTCAGTGGTGACTAATCCTTATCGCCTATTCTTGGATTGCTTTGAGAATGATACGGCCTTTTATGTAAATTTAGGACATTTTAGCTGGATTCAAATGCCATGGGTTACTCACAGCAGTTACGTCATCATCTTAATCACACCTCGTTTAGTAAAAGAATGCAGAATTATATCACGATTAATGCTTTCACGTTTTTCAAAGATTACGCAGCCTTGACTAAAGAGAACCAAACATTTATGACTCTCCATTTTCAAGTTTAGTAAATTGCGTGTGATATGGTCCGTGTTAGACACCCATTCCGAGATTTAATGGTGCGTTTTGTAACATTTGATATAGGAAAAGCATTTTAGGAATGTATTTTTTTAGGTTTGGTTGTACCCATCAGCTATTATTACTGTGACAGTAATATCAGCGTTATTAAAAGAAAGCTGTGCTGTGTCTAGTAGTTTTTTATTCATCAATAACAACATGTCTATTTCATAAAATAATGGTGATAAGTTTCCCACACTTAGAGGCTAGAGCAATCGGAAGAAAACGTCATGTTTCAGTAATTTACTTATCAGTCTCTGGTGTGTCAGTCAGCTAGTATGTACTGCTTACCAGTAACTTGCCTTCTGTTTCAGTTTAACGATTAATTAGTGAGTAATTTCTGAATCATCGTTAGGCATAACAAAGGTTGTTATGACAGGGCTACGTTTTTGTAACGTCAATGTTTTGTTACGGAGTTTGGTCTAGATAGCTAGCGTGATGATATTTCTGAACAATTCGTAACATTGGCAGGTTGATTATCGGGATTATAGGTCGTTGTATTGTATTCTTAGACTGATTTGAAACAATATTTTGCTAATCTATGTTCTAAATAAAGCATCGTTTTATCACGGATACCTATTTTATTATCTGTTACAGAATTATTAAAACTTCTAATTGATCTTTGATTCTACTCATCCATGGTGAGGGACAGACATTTATTAAACAATCTAGCACACATCCTGAAATAAAAGTATACGCTTCTAATGAAACAAACTTGTCTAGATAATGATACATTTGTACTCAAAGCCTCACTGTTGTAATATCATTGCCGCAATTTGTAGTAGGCTTTCAAGAAAGCTTCTGACCTACATAGGCTCGGATATTCGTAGCACT